TGGACTGCTTTCAATGTGTGTCAAAGTCCAAGCTGCTTTAGAGGATATCTGCTGAGACCGGCAGGTTGATGAGGTAGATCCACAGGGGAAACATGGGGGACAGGGCACTCAGTGCTGGAAAAATAGGTGGAAAGTGTTCCTGCTGGTTCACACAAATCCCATATGTAGACTGAGAGGAAAGAAAAAGAAATGGTGCCTGTCAGCACTTTTGTTCTTGAAGAAGTCTCCTGAGTTCTCTGCCCCTTGAAGCACTTTCTGAGATTAGTAAATAACTTTCCTTCATGTATAACTCAAGTGCTTTTCAAACTGCTGCTTTTGTGCTATGTCTCAGCTGAATTATGCTGCTTCTTTAAGACTGTTTCCTATTGTCCCCACCTTCCCAGGAGCTAAGCCTGCTGATTTTTAAAGTGTCCAGAGTTAATATCCACTAATTTTTAAAGCTCATGAATTTTAGCCCCACTGGTTTTCAAAATCTAATGTGGTGAGCAGTCGTCCCAATAATGTGATCCTTGGGCTTCTCCATGCTTGTGATGTCTCATTTGTGATTAGTCTCATCAGCGATTTGGTTCCCAACTGCGTACCTGCCTCTCCTACCCTTTAAAAAATTGTTTTAAGTTTGTTTATTTATTTTTCAGAGAGCGAGAGAAATTGTGAGTGGTGTAGGGGCAGAGAGAGAAGAGAATCCCTAACAGGCTCTGCACTGTCAGCATGGAGCCTGACGAAGGGCTCAAACCCACAGACTGTGAGATCATGACCTGAGCCAAAATCAAAAGTTGGATGCTTAACTAGATGAGCCACCCATGCACCCCATTCCTAACCTGTTTAATGTGGCTTCTTGTGTATGATTAACTATGGAAAGTCTGGTCTGCTGATCCTCAGGTCATTTTCAGAGTGAGTTGAACAAATGTGGCTGTTAACTTGTGTATCCATGGGATGAGGTGAGCTCCGGGTCCTCTTACCCTGCCATCTTTTTGACACTTTCTAGAGGGTCAGTCTCCCAGAGGTAGACTATTGGTTGGTACTTGGCTCAGGAAAATTTTCATTGTGATAATTGGGGTATTTTTCTCAATCCTCCTATAGTATCTTCATGCTTCCTCATATCTTGTGCTCCTGAGCCCTAGGAGTAAACTTTGCTCAGCCTTCCTTGTCTTTTCCCTTTGGTGAGTTTAAGCATAAGAGTTTCCTGCTCTGTCTTCAGTGATAGCAGCACCCTGCATTGTATCCTCAGAAAATCCCAGGTACAAGAAGGTTCCTGACCTTTACACAGTGGAAAGTTATTTGCTTATGTATATCCCCAAGTGAGAGGAGGAGGAAAGAGAAGAAAAGAAGGCTTGTTGTCATTCCCTCTGCAATAATCTTTTTTTTCCCTTTAACTTCATATCAGAGAAATGTCCAGGGCACCAAATAAGCTTTGGTATATCACCCAACATCACCTAAGCACTGTCTGCATACCTTTGTCACTAGGCATGTCACTTCATTCTCTTTTCTGTCCCCAATCTTCCTCCTGAGGCCTCTTAAAAAAACTGTCAAATAGGTGCTAACTCCTATTGTATCTGGAACTGCACGTGATTTTCAATTGTCAAGCAGACTTGCTTTTGACATTTAATAATTTATTAAACTTTTACTTTTTTTTTCCTGCTTGCTTTTATATACGTTGTCTCTTCCTCTCATGCTCTGTTTAATAGAAACACCATTTATGTGCTCTCTCTCTTCTCATGGGGTCTTATTTCTTTGAAATTTAGTTCAACTTACTGTTTGGGTTAGTAGTTTTCTAATGAGCTTTAAAAGTATCTGATTGCATAGATTACAGATTTTACATTTAGTAGTGTGGAATCTTTTGCAACATTCTACATTCTAACTGAAAGTGGAGTTTGAACACAAGTACATTTTGGAGTACAGTTTTTTACTATTTATCCTAAGGCCAAAGATTATAAAGTATTTCAACAAATTTTGAATTCTAGTTAGTATGTGTATATATTCTCTCTCCCTCTCCCCCCTTGCTCTCTCTCCAGTGGAATAACAACTTGTAAGTGTAGAAGAAATGATGTAGTTAGAAAATCCCATTTTGGCAATCAAGACACTAATTTATTCAGAAAATGATCCTAAATTAATGCTCAAACTAACAGTGAAAATTTGATGAGAAACAAGATACAGCCTGAAAGAATCTCCCCAAGAAATGCTTATAAATTACAAAAGCAAAAATAGAAATAGCTGGCAGACACCACCTGAACCATGTGATTAAAGTTGCCATAAACAGGATTGAGACAAGATATTGCCTTCTGACAAGATACACAGAAAAGGACATAACACTACTTCTGTGATAATTCTGCCAAATATGAGTCACCTGGTTCTGATCACAAGGAAATATTAAACAAATCCAATAATTGGACATTCTACAAAATAACTGGCTGTGTTTTCAAAATTGTCAAAGATGCAAAAGGCAAAAAATCATTTTGAAGAACTGTTCTAGTTTGGAGTCTAAAGGGGATGCCAGTTATTGAATCACAGATCCTGGACCACAGTAACTTTTCTCCTGTTTGCTTTGTTTAGATGTTTTTAGGGTACTTAGGTTTAATCTCAATAAGATCTGTGGTTTAGATGGTAGTATATCAATAATTTTCTGATTTTGATCATGGGATAATGGTTATAGAAGAGAGTGTAGAGACCTCTCCTATTTTCTTACGAAATATATAATAATTATTGGGGTAATAAAGTGTCGTATCTGCAAATTATCCTCCAGTGATTCATAGAAAAATATTCAATTAGACATATGGAAAGATAAATAGAATGTATGGAAAAATTTTAATAGATGGGTAATGTAGTTGAAGGTTATATACAGTTTCATAGCCTTTTCTAGAAACTTTTCCATAAGTTTGAAATTACTTTGGAAAGATGTAAATTTCTAGTACTGGAAAGTAGTAGATCTCATTAAGAAATTATGCTTTATGTTTCCTTTTGCTTTTCTTGTATGTCTTCCCACCCCTCTCCCAGTTTTCTTGAGATAAAATTGATGCATAACGTTTTTAAGTTGAAGGTGTACTAAGTGTTAATTTAGTACATTTCTATACTGTAAAATGATTACCAGAATAACATTAACACCTGCCTCCCATCATAAAGTTATCATTTCTTTTTGTAGGGAGGATATTTAAAATTATACTTCCTTTTTTCGTTTAAAATTATTTAAACTATTTGAAACTTTTTAAAAAGTGATTTAAATTCCATTTAGTTAACATACAGTGTAATATTTTTTTCAGGTGTCCAATAGTCATTTTGTACATCTATAAAACACCCAGTGCTCCTCATAACAAGTGTACTCCTTAATCCCCATCACTTATTTAACCCATCACCCCACCCACCTCTCCTCCAGTAACCATCAACTTGTTCTCTTCTTTCTTATTTTTTTCCTCTTCTTTTTCCCCATGCTCATTTGTTTTGTTTCTTATTCCACCTTTAAGTGAAACCATATGGTATTTATCTTTTTCTGACTGATTACACTTAGCATAATATTCTCTAGCTCCATTCACATTGTTGCAAATGGCAAGATTTTCATTCTTTTTATGGTTGAGTAACACACACACACACACACACACACACACACATATACATACATATACATTCCACATCTTCTTTATCCATTCGTTGGTCAATGGACGTTCAGGCTATTGTTGATAATGCTGCTATAAACATCGGGGTGCATGTATCCATTCAAAGTAGTATTGTATCCTTTGAATAAATCTCTAGTAGTGCAATTTCTGGATCCTAGGAAAGTTCTATTTTTAACTTTTTGAGAAACCTCCATACTGTTTTCCACAGTGGCTGTGCCAGTTTGCATTCCCACCAACAGTGTAAGAGGGTTCCTCCTTCTCTGCATCCTCACCAATACCTGTTGTTTCTTGTGTTTTTTTTTTTTTATTTTAGCCATTCTGACAGGTGTGAAGTGATATCTCATTTTAGTTTTGATTGGCATTTCCCTGATGATGAGAGATGTTCAGCATCTTTTCATGTGTAAGGTCACACCTTCTTAGCAATATTCAAGTATATAATATAGTATTATTAACTGTAATTACTGTGCTGAACATTAGATCTCCAGAAGTTATTCATCTTATAGCTGGGTGTTTGTACCCTCTGACTGACCTCAGCCCCTGGCAACCATCATTATAGTCCTTTTTTCTGTAAGTTTGGCCTTTTTTTTTTTAGATTCAATATGTAAGTGATACCATGCCATATTTCTTTCTCTGTCTGGCTTATTTCACTTAGTATGATGTCCTCAAATCCATCCATTTTGCCACAAGTGGTAGGACTTCCTTCTTCTTCATGCCTGAAAAACATTCCATTGTGTATATGTGTGTGTATGTATGTATGTGTAGATATCACATCTTATTTACACATTCATACATTAACACACACAGGTTTCCATATCTTGGCTAGTGTAAATAATGCTGCGATAAACATAAGTGTGCAGAGATCTCTGAGATACTGATTTTGTTTCCTTTGGATACATACCCAGAAGTAAGATTGTTAGATCATATGGTAGTTCTATTTTTATTTTTTGAGGAACTCCATACTATCTTCCATAGAAGCTATACCAATTTTCATTCTACTATTCATGCAGAAGGGTTCCCTTTTCTTCATCCCTCACCAACACTTGTTATCTCTAGTCTTTTTGATAAGAAAGTCTAACAGATGTGAGGTGATAATGCATTGTGGTTCTGATTAGATTTCCCTGATAATGAGTGATGTTGAGCATCTTTTTCTTCTGCCTGTTGACAATTTGCAGTTTTTCTTCAGAGAAATGTCTATTTAGTTCCTCTGCCCACCTTTAACAAGTTACTAGATTTCTTTGCTATTAAGGTGTATGAGTTTTTATATATTAGATATTAACCTTTTTTTCAAATACATGATTTGCTGATATATTCCATTCTATAATATACCTTTCCATTTTGTTGATTGTTCTTTTGCTGTGCTGAAGTTGCTGTTTTTTGTGTTTTTTTTTTTAATAGAAAGGGTGAGCCAAGGAGATGGGCAGAGGGAGAGAGACAAAGAACCCCAAGAATTCAGTGCTATATCGAATAGGAGTGGTAATGGTGAGTACCCTGGTCTTTTCTGATCTTAGAGGAAAAACTTTTGACCTTTCATCATTAAGTATGATGTTGGCTGTGGGGTTATTGTACATGGTCTTTATTTGGATAAGGTATATTTCTTATATAACCAACTTACTGAATGTTTTTATCATGAAAGGATATATTTTATCAAATGCTTTTTTGATATGATCATAGGATTTTTAGCTCTCTATTTATGTGGTGTTATCACATTTATTGATTTGTGTGTGTTGAACTATCCTTCTCTTCCAGGCATCAATCCCACTTGATCATGGTGAATTACATTTTAATGGGCTGCTGAATTTGACTTACTAATATTTTATTGAGAATTTTCTTCATCAATATTTAGTGATACTGGTCTGTATTTTTTTTCTTATAGTTTCTTTATCTGGTTTTGGTATCAGGGTAATGCTAGCCATGTAAAATTGAGAATGTTGATTTTTCTTACATTTTTGGGAAGATTTTGAGAACGATTGGCTAGGTTATTTTTTTAGTTTCATAGAATCCATCAATGAAGCAATCTGTTGCTTTTCCGTGTTGGGTGGTTTTGACGACTAATTCAATCTTACTAGTATTTCATCTATTTATATTTTCTATTTCTTTATGATTCATTCTTAATAGGTTTTGTTTCTAGGAATACTCTCTTCTAGGTTATCCACTTTGTTAGCATATATATGTTCATTGCAGTCTATCTCAGGACCCTTTGTATTTCAGTATTATCAGTTGTAATGCCTCCTCTTTCATTTATAATTTTGAGTCGTCTTTTTTGTTTTCTTAGTCCAGCTAAAGTTTTGTTACTTTTGTTAATTTTTTTTCAAAAACCAGCTCTTAGTTTTATCAATCCTTTCTTTTATTTTCTTTTTATTTTTTCTGGACTCCATTTTACTTATTTCTGCTCTGAACTCTATTTCCTTCCCTCTAACTTTGGGCTTAGTTTCCTCTTTATTTTCTAGTTCATTGAGGTATAAAGTGAGGTTTTTTATTTGAGATATTTCTGGTTTCTTAATGTGTAAGTGCTTAGAAACTCCCCTATAGAACTTCTTATGTAGCATCCCAGAAGTTTTGATATGTTTTGCTTCCATTTTCATCTGTTTAAAGATATTTCTTGATACCCCTTTTGATTTCATGTTTGATCCATTGATTATCTGTTTAATCTCCACACACTTGTAAGTTATTCAGGTTTCCTCCTGTTATTGGCTGTTAGTTTCCTATCACTGTGGGCAGAAAAAAATATTTTGTATTATTTCAGTCTTTTCACATTTGCCAAGATGTTTTGTGACCTAGCATGTGATCTATCTTATGCAATGCCCTGTGTGCCCTTAAGGAAAATGCGCATGCTACTACTATTGGATGAAATATTCTATACTTGTCTGTTAGGTCCATTTGGACCAATGAGTGGTTCAAGTCCAGTGTTTCTTTGTTGATTTTTTGTGTGATCTGTCCATTGTTGAAAGTGAGCTAATGAAGTTCTCTGCTATTATCTCCTTTCAGATCTGTTAGAATTTGTTTAATGAATTTAGATGCTCTAGTGTTGGGTACATATATAATTGTTATATGTTTTCATGAAATGACTCCTATTTCATTATGCAATGGTTTGTTTTCTCTTATCAATGTTTTTGGCCTAAAGTCAATTGGATGAAAGTATCATTTCTTCCACTTTGTTTTGATCTTCACTTGGATGGAATATCTTTTTGCATTCCTTCACTTTTAACCTATATATGTCCTGAAGCTGGAGTTTTTTGGTTTTTTTTTTTTTCAATACATCCAGCCACTCTATATCTTTTATTGCAGAATGCAATCCATTTAGAGTATTTTTAACATTTAAATATTTACTGAAGCCACCTTATTGTTTTCTGGCTGTTTTGTGGTTCATTCCTTCCTACCCTTCATTGCCTTCTATGTATGTGATGATTTTCCATAGTGTGTGCTTGTCTTTATCTTTTGTGTACGTATTGTATATTTCTCTGTGTAGCTCCCAAGAGGTTTACACAAAAAAGTCATATGTTTTATATATATATAATATATAATCATATATATCCATTTTATACAGATAATATAATTTTTATTGCATTTAAATTCAATTTTTTTAATGTTTATTTTTGAGAGAGAGAGTGAGAGACAGAGCAGAGTGAGAGCAGGGGAAGGTCAGAGAGAGGGGGGTGCACAGAATCCGAAGCAGCTCCAGGCTCTGCACTGTCAGCACAGAGCCTGATGCGCGGTGAAACTCACTAGTCATGAGATCATGACCTGTGTCAAAGTTGGACGCTTAACTGACTGAGCCACCCAGGCACCCAATTGCATTTAAAATTTTAGTTTAAGTTTATTGTTATTTTACCTTTCTCTTTTATATTTTTGATGTCACCATTTACATAGTTTTTACTGTGTATCCGTTAACAAATTGTTTAAGCTATGGCTATTTTTAATAATTTTGACCTTTTAGCTTTTATTCTAGAGTTAAGTAGCACATCATTGTATTACAGTTAAAGGATTCTGAATCTGACTGCATGCTTACCATTATCAGTGTTGCATATCTTCATATGTTTTTATGGTACTAATTGTGATACTTTGCCTCAGCTTGAATAACTTCTCTTAACATTTTTAAGACAGTTTAATAACAAAGGATTCCTTCAGCTTTTTTTTTAATGTTAATTTTCAGAGGGAGAGAGAATGAGAGCAGAAGAGGGGCAGAGATAGAGGGAGACACAGGATCCAAAGCAGGCTCCAGGCTCTTTGCTGTCAGCACAGAGCCTGACGCAGGGCTTGAACCCACAAACCAGGAGATCATGACCTCAGCCAAAGTCAGACACTTAACCGACTGAGCCACCCAGGCGCCCCTATTTAATTCTGAAGGACAACTTTGGGCAAAATATTTTTGATTGGCAGTTTCTTTCTTTAGCTCTTTGAATACATCACCCCATTTCTTTCCTGGTCTCTGTTGAGAAATCTGATAAATTCACTGGGTTTTCTTTTTTTGATAATTTTTTTTCTTGCTGCTTTTAAAAAGTTCTTCCTTTAATGTCAGACAGTTTTATTATTTTGTGTCTTGGAGAAGAGCGTTTTGGATTCAAATTTTAAGGTGACCTATTAGTTTCATGAACTTTTTCCAAAAATCCCCTTAGGTTTGAGAAGTTCTCAACCATTATTTCTTTAAATAAGTGTTCCACCTTTCTTTCTTTGTTCTCTTTCTGGGACTCCAGTAATACATATATTATTTCTTTTCATGATTCTTCTGCTTTTACAAGATTGCTGTTAAGTTCTCTATGGAATTCTTCAGTTCAGTCATTGCATTCTTCAGCTCCAATTTTTTTTAGATTTTTTGGGTTTTTTTTCCTCTTTATTTAACTTCTATTTTATTCTTGTATTTTTGATGTTAAATTGCTTTTATGCTTTGTAACAGTTTGAGCATCTGTATATCAGTTACTTTGAATTTTTTTATTTCCATTTCTATGGGGTCAGTTACTAGATGTTTACTATATTCCTTTTGGATATATGTTCTCCTGTTTCTATGTGGTTCCTGTAGCCTTGTGTAGATGTCTGCACATTTGAAGAATCAGTCACCTCTTCCAGATTTATGGGCTGATTTTGATAATGAAAGTCTTTCCCCTGAAAATGGGGGCATATTGTATCATGCTGTGACCCTGGGTCTGGTTGTAGAGTGTGCCAATGCAGGGGAAGTGTGATATCTCTTCAACTCAAGCAACTAGGTCCACAATATTGATAATTAAGTTTTCCTTGGCAAGGATTGTGGAGAATCTTCAAAGGTTTCAAGGGTTGATTAGTCTTAAGTGGTGCCTTCAAGTCCAGTAGCTAGAAACCAGGGCAGGGAGCAATGGTGTCCAGGGCCCCTGGTATTCACACACTTAGCTGTGGAGGCTAGCTGTAGGTGTCTATGTAGTGGCAGAGACCAGTTAGAGACAAACTCATGGAAATGGAGATCAGGGCAGGTAGCAAGGTCAGAACCAACTATGGGCTCACTGGAATCTGCGGAGGCCCCAGCTGTTAGTGTGCTCTCCTATGGCTTCACACCCCATTCCTAGTTGTGTATTGTGCAGTGAAGTGCAGTCACAGGAGTCACACTGGGGAGTATGCAGGTGCACACATGGAGGGAGGGGCTAAATATATGTTGTCATGGTGTTGCCAACAACAGAATGGAGGGCCTGATCTGGGCCTGCAAGCAGTTGTGGGGGGCCCAAGATGCCAACGTGCTTTCCTAGTTATGCATACTCTCCCACTGGGCATGCACACTGCAATGGAGGCTAGTGATGAGGATCAGTCTGAGAATATACAGGTGCACAGTGGGAGGGTCAGGGAAGGACTGAAGTATCTGATTTTAGGAAACAAAAATACCTGTAAGCTAATAACTGCCAAGATATGAGGGGGATCTACAGTGATTGTACAGGCTGGTGACTTTGTCAGTGGTGGAAGCTGCTGAGTGTATATACAGAGCAGATCTTTGGGAACCACAGACATTCCCCCTGCCTATCTGGTAACAATTGTCTTTACTTTCTTGTTTGTTCCTAAAGAAATTTATATGCATTAGCTTTGCCAGTCTGGGTTTTATAAAACCAAAGCTGGACTTCTGTTTTGCATCATTCCTGAAGAGGCTGGTTGGTCACCCCATTCTTTCTTTCCTGGTGAGAACTCTTTCTAGCTGGTTAGACCCTCATTGTCAGAGAACAGTGCCAACTTGGGGAATGTGATGATGCAGGCTAAACGAAGTCGTCTTTTACTTCTTGTATAATTATTCTCAGCTTTGTTTTCATTCCATGCTGTGGCTAAAATTTCCTAAATGTGTTTTCAAGGTCTTGTGGAGCTATTTTTATTTGTGGATAGCTGTCCAATCACTTCTCTTTATGGAGAGATGTGGAAGCTGGGTTCTTGTACCTTGCCATTTTTTTCTACAAATGAAAGTATTTTAATATTACCCTCTAGCAAAATAAAAGGAACTATGAATCAAACACAAATTTATTGCTGTTTCATGGAAG